AGGAGAAGCACCTGGCTCCTGGCTTTGGATCAGCACAGTGTGCCGCAGCTGTGCACCAGCCGTGGCGGCCATTGGAAGGTGAACCAATGGCAAAAGGAAGACCTCTCTCCTCTCTCTCTCTCTCTCTCCACTCTGCCTGTCCAAAAAAAAAAAAAAAAAAAAAGTGGGGGGGGGCGGAATAGTGTAACTATCACACTAGAGGAAAAATAAAAAGAAGAGAGACTTTTCTCTCTCCCTAATGGTGTCCTGTAACAAACTGATAGACTGGGCGTCATTTTGGGCATATATAACAGCTGCACCAGCTTGTGTCCCTGCCCAGCAATCAGCTGAGTGGAAACTCAGGACTCTGGTGGGGAGAACCAACAGGGGGCTGAGTGCTTGTGAATGTGGGAGGGTTCTGTGCCAGGCTGTAAAAAAACAAACAAACAAAAACCAAAAAAGACCCTGAGGCTGTGTGGGAGGACTCACAGAGTGGCTGGGACTTTGGGCAGTCACTGTGGGAGATTCCACATACTTAGGGCTTCCTGGTTACCTGGTAAGGGACAGTGCTGCAGAATTTGAGCTTACACTGAAGACTGCACAGATCCTTTGTGTGGTCCTTGGGATAGAGCGGACAAATATTACACCAACTAGGGCAGGTACTCAGGCACTGGTCTATTTGAGGAGAGGAGCTCAGCCGACCAGAATAAATTTTGCTTCTGATAAAAAAAAGATTTACCATGCCAAACCTGGGTGTGTCATCTTAGGCACACCCTTCATCCTAGGAACTGAACAGCGATCCCTGGCCACACCCACTGCACACCTCTAGATATTCACTGAAAGCAAACATTCCACATATCTACAGAGGCATAGTACAAAGATAAAAGCCACCATAGAGAAAAAAAACGAAGAAGAAACCAATGAGTATCTCCACAAATGCCGAATAAAAAAACACAACAATTCAAGAAACAAGATTAAGGAAGACAACATGACACCCACAAAAGAACACAACTCTTCAGTACTAGATTGTGAAGATGATAAGACTGAAGAAATGCCAGAAATGGAATTAAAAACACCGATCATAAGATTACACAGAAGTAATCACAAGCAAATGTATGAATTACTGAATTCTGCTCATGGCATGAAAGAAAATTTCTCCCACGAAATTGAGATCTTAAAGAGAAATCAAAATGAAATGAATTCAATAGCACAAATAAAAAATGCTGAAGAAAGAATATCTGACCTATCCAATAAAACACAGGAAACTATACAGTCAAATGAAGAAGAAGAAATTAGAAAACTAAAAAACATTATTGGGAATCTACAGGATACCATCAAATGACCAACATACAGGTTCTAGAAGTTTCTGATGGTGTGGAAAGAGAGAAAGGATTAGAAGGCCTTTTTAGTGAAATAACAAAACTTTCCTAATTTGGAGAAAGAAAGGGGCATCCAAGTACAGTAAGCACATAGAACTCCTAATAGACACGACTAGAAAAGATCTTCACCACGACACACTGTAATCAAACTCACCACAGTAAAACATAAAGAAAAGATTCTAAAATATGCATGAGAGGAATGCCAGATTACTTTCAGAGGATCTCCAAGTAGACTCACAGTGGACTTCTCATCAGAAACCTTACAAGCTAGGAGAGAATGGCAAGATATATTCAAAGTCTTAAGAGAAAAGAACTGTGAATCCAGAATACTGAGTCCTGCAAAGCTCTCATTTATGAATGAAGGTGAAATAAAGACCTTGCATGACAGACAGAGATTGAATGTCACCACCCATCTAGCCCTACAAAAGAAGCTTAAGGATGTGCAACACACAGAAACATGGTCATCACTATGAAAGAAGGCAAAGGAAGGAAATCTCCCAGTAAAAGTTCAAAGGAAATTCAAAGTAAAAAATAGAAATATATTTGGAAAAATGGCACGGCAAAATTGTTACTCATGAATAGTCACCTTGATTGTAAATGGCCTCAACTCTCCAGTTAAAAGACACAGACTAGCTGAATGGATTAAAAAACAAAACCCATCTATTTGTTGCCTACAAAAAAACACATCTCACCAACAAAGATACATGCAGACTTAAAGTAAAAAGATGGAAAAAGATATTCCATGCCAACAGAAACCAAAAAAGATATAGTATAGCCATCCTAATATCAGATAAAATAGACTTTAACAGAGAAACTGTTAAAAGAAGGACACTATGTAATGATTAAGGGATCAATCCACAGGAAGATGTAACTATTCTAAATGTACATGCACCTAATTACAGGGTACCTGGCTATTTGAAAGAAATGTTAAGGGATCTAAATGGAGACTTAGACTCCAATACATTAGTAATGGGGGACTTCAATACCCCACTTTTCAGCAATGGACAGATCAACCAGACAAAAAATCAGCAAGGAAACAGCAGAGTTAACACTATAAACCAAATGGACCTCACAGATATCTATAGAACTTTTCATCCTATACTTGCAGAATACACATTCTTCTCAGCAATGCATGGAACTTTCTCTAGGACTGACCACATGCTAGGCCATAAAGCAAGTCTCAAAAAAAAAAAAAAATTGAAATCATACCATGCATCTTCTTGAACCACAATGGAATGAAGCTGGAAATCAACAACTCAAGAATCCCTAGAACATATGCAAACACATGGAGACTGAACAACATGCTCCTGAATGAACAGTGGGTGATAGAAGAAATCATAAGAGAAACCAAAAAATTTCTGGAATAAATAAAGATGACAATACAACATATCAAAACCTATGCGATACAGTAAAAGTGGTGTTAAGAGGAAAGTTTATAGCAATTGATGCTGAAGGCCATATGGAAACACAGGAGACCTCGGATAGCTAAAGCAATCTTATACAACAAAAAGCTGGGGGCATCACAATACCAGATTTTAAGACATACTACATGGCAATTGTAATCAAAACAGCTAGATACTGGTACAAAAACAGATGGATAGACTAATGAAATAGAATAGAATCAACAGAAATCCGTCCAAGCATCTACAACCAACTTATATTTGACCAAGGAGCTAAAACCAATTTCTGGAGCAAGGACAGGCATTCAACAAATGGTGCTAGGAAAACTGGATTTCCACATGCAGAAGTATGAAGCAAGAGTCCCACCTTAACCTTACACAAAAATCCACTCAATATGGATTAAAGATCTCAAAACATGACACCATCAAATTATTAGAGAACACTGGGGAAACCTTGCAAGACATTGGCATAGGCAAAGAGTTCTTAGAAAAGACCCCAGAGGTACAGGCAGTCAAAGCCAAAATTAAATGGGATTACATCGAATTGAGAAGTTTCTGCATTGCAAAAGAAACACTCAGGAAAGTGAAGTGGCAACCAACACAATGGGAGAAATTATTTGTAAACAATACAACTGATGAAAGATTAATAACCAGAATATAAAAAGAAAGCAAGAAACTCCACAACAAAAAACCAAATAACTCCGTTAACAGATGGGCAAAGGACTTAAACAGACATTTCTGAAAAGAGAAAATCCAAATTGCCAACACACACATGAAAAAATGTGCAGGATCACTAGCTATCAGGGAAATGTAAATCTTTAAGCACTATGAGGTTTCACCTCACCCGTTAGAATGGCTTTCATACAGAAATCAACAAAAACCAAATTCTGGTGAGGATGTGGGGAAAAAGGTACCCTAGTCCACTGTTGTTGGGGTTGTAGACTGGTTAATGTCACTGTGGAGGACAGTATGGAGATACCTCAGAAATCTGAATATAGACCTACCATATGACCTAGCCATCTCAGTCCTGGGAATTTACCCAAGGGAAATGAAATCAGTAAATAGAAGAATTATCTGCACTCTCATGTTTATTGCAGCTCAATTCACAATAGCTAAGACATGGAACCAATCTAAATGCCTGTATATTGAAGACTGGATAAATTATGGGATATGTACACTATGGAATAATTCACAGCAGTAAAAGATAAAATGAAATACGGTCATTTGCTACAAAATGGATGAATTTTGAAAATATCATACTTAGTGAAATAAGCCAATCCAAAAAGGACAAATACTGTATTTTCTCCCTGATCTGTGAGAATGGATAGAGCACCTAAAGGAAATCTATAGAAGTGAAATTGACACTTTGAGAAAGGATGACTTGAGCGGCCCTTGTCTCTCTTTTGAGGAAGTTTTTTTTTTCTTTTTTTTCTCTTAAAACTATTTGTTGAATTCTTCAAGCATAGAAAGACAAGACACTGTGGCAAAAAATGTTCTATATGAAGAATCTTTATGAGTGAGATCCCAATGGAAAGAAATGGCCATCAAAGAAGGATATACTTTCCTCTAAAGGGAGGAAAGAATTTCCACTTCGCTAATGGCCTTGTCTAAATACTGACAGTTTGTGGACTCAAAAGGCATCCATAGCCTAGTCAGCTCATGTCAAAAGCCTTAAGTGGTCACTGACATCATACATAAGAGTGTTAATTGTTAAATTAAAAACAGGAGTCACTGTGCACTAACTCTCCATGTAGGTCTCTGTCCTCAATTAGTTGTATTATGAGAGTTAACCGTGATACTGTTTGTGTGTGTGTGCATGCACACACGCGTGCAAACTGATGAAATCTTTACTTAATATATACTAAATCAATCCTCTGTATATAAAGATAATTGAAAATGAATCTTGATGTGAATGGAATGGGAGAGGGAGAGGGAGATGGGAGGGGTGCGAGTGGGAGGGAAATTATAGGGGTGGGGAGCCATTGTAATCCATAAACTGTACTTTGGAAATTTATATTTACTAAATAAAAAAAATAAAAATAAAATATAAATTAAAAAATTTAAAAAGATATCACATTAGAGCCCCATCTCAAACACTGACAAACATCTCCACATGGATTATAGCTTTGCTTATGACTACAGAAGTTAAAAGTGATCTTTACAGCAAAGTTTAAAAATCATAAAACATAAATTTGCCCACAGTAAAAAGAAAAATCCTTAGTATGAGAAAATAAAATTATTATTATTATTATTTTTTACAGGCAGAGTGGACAGTGAGAGAGAGAGAAAGAGAGAAAGGTCTTCCTTTGCCGTTGGTTCACCCTCCAATGGCCGCCGCGGCTGGCGCGCTGCGGCCGGCGCACCGCGCTGATCCGATGGCAGGAGCCAGGAGCCAGGTGCTTTTCCTGGTCTCCCATGGGGTGCAGGGCCCAAGCACCTGGGCCATCCTCCACTGCACTCCCTGGCCACAGCAGAGGGCTGGCCTGGAAGAGGGGCAACCGGGACAGAATCCGGCGCCCCGACTGGGACTAGAACCCGGTGTGCCGGCGCCGCTAGGCGGAGGATTAGCCTAGTGAGTCACGGCGCCGGCTGAGAAAATAAAATTATTAATAAAGTTGAATCATCAAAGACACTCAACAGTCTGAGGGGCCCAGGCATGATAGAAAATTCAGAAGGGACCCATGGTATGGCAAGACCTAATTAAGCAAGCAAGGGCATGGGGCCATGCTGCAAACAAGAAAGCTGACCACAGACTCACCACTGTACCTTCAGTCTTTGTCAGCAAGAGGGGCTCATGGGCAGAACAGAGCCCTGGGGGACCCACCAGGAAGATGAAGAGCAGCACTCTGTCCTGGCCATGAGGTCTGCTATTCCTTTACACCCAGAAGCCAGGAGTCTTGCCAGGAGGAAGAGGGAGATGTGCACAACTGTGAAGACTCAAAAGCAAGGAAAAATTAGTTATGGAAAATAAGTGACATTAATTCCTAGAGTTATGATAATACATTATGTTGGTAAAGAGTTTACTCCATCTTCTGATAGCAGAGAAGTGTTCAGTCTCACACTTGCAATTCCTGTTATGCCCACACCAGGGTAAGCTGAGAAGAAACCCGGGATTGTCCCTTTTTTGGTGCCAGCAGGAGATTCAAACTACACAAGCCTCTTCCTGCAAACCCTGGTACACTCCCCTAGTCACAATAAAACCCCCAAGTCAGTCTCTTCCTTGTTCTCTCAAGCTGCCCTGCTCTCTGCAAAAAGGCTTGTGTGAGTAATAAACCTGCTCAGGTCCTCTTATGGTGTGTATGGTGTCATCGTTGCAACATCTGAAACCAAATCTTGGATTTCAGGGCCCAGCCTGCTTCTGTAGTTTGGTGGCAACGTGATGATTCAGAAAAAAATGGTCAAGAAATATGAGCAGACAAGTCACAAAGGAAGAAATAGTGTCTGATAAAAAGTAAAAGTGTTTAATTTCACTATTAGAAAAATTCCAACTAAATAAGATGTCATTTTCACTTTTCATATGGTAGAAAAATTATGGTAGACAAAATATTAATATTTGAGGATAAGCATAGGTAAGGAAATAGTAATCCTTACATACTGGTGAAGAATAGTTCAACTGGCAATATCTATTTAAAAGGCTTAAATGAGCATGCCCTTTGACTCAGCAATCCCACTTAACAGTGCCCTAGAGATGAATTTGTGCATATGTAAAATGCCTATGCAGTCCTCTACAATATGAAGAAATTGGAAAATAGCTACATGCTTTTGTAGAGGAATGGTAACAAATTACTTTTTATTGGCACCTTGGGGTAATTCAAGTGTGTTGAAAAGAATGAATTACAAGTACTGACACTGATAGATATCTAAGACAGTAGGTACATGAATGAGCAAGTTTCAACATAGAGAAATGGAAACGCATTAAGTAATAATCAGTTAATTTAGATAAGGGTAGGAGTTGACCAAGGAAAACATTCACTTTATCTTGTCCAAGTTTATTATATGGCTATTACAAACACATTATTCATGTATTATTTGTGTAATTAAAACACAACTTTAAAAGAAAATGTTTAATGATTGTCAAAGATAGAAAACAACGACATTGAAGTGCAACTAATTCACCAAAATTGAGAAAATTATTTGATTTTTGAAATGACTTCAAACCTAAGTAAAAGTTAAAAATTGGAACAAAGAATCCCAGTCAAATGGAAAATTAGTCATGTTTTGTTCCTTGCTCCAACTATTGCAAAAGTGTCCAATCCAAGATCACACTGTGGCTGTGCCTCTAGTCTTCCCTAAAAATGGAGCATCCATTTTTCCCTTAGCTTTCATGACACTGAACATTTTGAACAGAAGGCAGCCATTTTGTCAGATGTCCCTCAATTTCATCTCATCCATGATTTCCTCATGATTCGACCCCGATGGTGCCTGTTGCAGTGGTGGTGCTCCTGATGTGGGTTTGTGCCATTTCTGGAGGTGGTAACTTTGATCACTGAAATAAGATGGTGTCTGAGTTTCTCTACATGACATATACATGACATTTGTTTATGATTGACAACTGTATTTAGTGAGAATACTTTGAGATTATGTAAATGCCATTTTTCCATCGCACTTTACCCTACTAGTTTTAGGATCCATTGGTATTTATTGCTCAGATTATTACTGTAATGGTTGCCAAATGGTAACTGAAAAATTTCATCAGCATTTGTTATTTGGTGCTCTGTAGGGAAGAGCTTTCTTTTTTCCTTGTATCAGTGTGGACTTGGTGGTACCTATTTTATTCCATTACTGTCATTATTTTTGATGTGGAAATTATACCTGATTTAGTCTGTGCAGGCCCTTCTGTGTCTTTTGACAAATCGGAGTCATTGCTTGAATATTTTCTCTGGGACAAAAATATATTCAGTGTTGAAATCAGCGATTTCTTCCAGGAGCTGTAGTTCCTTTCAGCAGAAAACAGTATTTAGAAATCAGAATCCAAGCACTAGCTGTGCCAATTGCTCCTGGAGGGTTGCTCCTGGTCCACTCTGTTCTATAAACATAGACACACACACGAGGATACTTCAAAAAGTTCATAGGAAGTAAAATTGATGTATTTTCCACGAACTTTTTGAGACAGCCCCTGCTCCGTGTGTGTGTATGTGTGTGTGTGTGTGTGTGTGAATCCTCGAAAAGTTCATGGAAGGTGGGAGTTAGGATAAGTATATTTTGGTGCAAGAATTTTTGAAATTCATGCATGATCATGATACATGTTTTTAAAAATTATCTGTTAATTCCATTTTCCCATAAACATTGAGAGGCAGAGAGAGCACAGAGAAACCTCCCATCCACTGATTCAGTCCCCAAATATCCCCAGTTACCAGGGCTGGGCTGGAGCTGAAGCCAGAAACTGGGAACGAATCCGAGTCACCCATGTAGGTGACAGAGACACAAATACTTGAGCCATGACTTGCTGCCATCTAGGGTGTGACTCAGCAAGGAGCTACAATTGGGAGCTGCAGCCAGGACTTGAGCCCAGGTATTCTGATATGGAGCAGGTGCCTCCTAACAGCAAAACCAAAAGCCTGCCTCAGTTTTTTCATAACACGTATTCCCATGAACTTTTTGAAACTTGTGTGTGTGTGTGCACGTTGCCTGTGTGTGTGCATGAATTTCAAAGATTTTGGTACCACAATAAAAATTCCATTCCATGAACTTTTTGAAGTACTCTGGTGAATGTGTGTGAGTGGGTGTGTGTGTACAGCACACATTGATAGTTCTAATTCTAATCTAACACTTCAGGGTTTATTCTAACATTTCCTTTTTAATAATGTTTTATTTTTAATTGTCAATAATTGTAAGTTCTTATGGGGTACCATGGAATTTTTTGATACATGAATACATTGTAGAGTGATCAAATCAGGGTAATCAGCATATATATCACTGCAAACATTTCTCTCTGTTTTGTGGTGAGAACACTGAACATCCTCCTTTAGCCTTAGTCACCCTGCTGTGCAACAGCACAACCAGAACTGCCTTCTCCATTCTGCACTGGGAAATCTGACTCCCACATCCACAGATTTGCTCCTGATCCCACTGGTCTGCTTGCTGTCCTTGTCCAGCACTGACTCACAGCCCCCCATTACTGACCACTGAAAGGCCGATCCTGCCACTTCCAACTGCAGCCTCCTCTGGGCTGTCCACCTAACACAAAGAGTGGTGCTGTGGGGCTGCCTGGTTGACTTTTGGACTGAGTGGAAGGGAATGAGGGGAGGACAGAAGGCGGAAGACAGTGAGGAGGTCAAGTCAGTACTTTAAATGTTGAATGCAGGTGTGTGGGAAGCCTGAGTACTAAAAGATGAGGAGGTTAAATGGATCCTTTTGAGACAATTCTAAAAAGAAGACTGGCATCTTACGGGATCTGTCTTTACATTTGAACTTTAAACCGAAAACCATTATTTTAGCGTAGGGTTGGTTAGTGGAATTTTTTTCAATTTTTATATGAAACAAAAACTAGGACAAATGTCCTGAGAAATCGAGATTTGGAAGTATAATGGAAGTGAGTTAAGGTCTCTGAAGAGCATTTAGCTATGCTGAGGCAACCTAGAGGAGCTTAGAAGCACACACTGTAGGCCCTGGGGTAACGAATGCTCCCTATGACCGCTAGGTGGTAGGCTGAAGCCATAATAACAATCGTTTTGCTTGGCTGATGGTTAAAGCGTGAACAGAAAAGATTTTAGTGAGGAAACAAGGTTTCTGTGTTGAGTGTGTAGGCTCATCTTATTCTACCTTAGTTTGTTATGCTGAACTGCTACCAAATTTATTTTTACTGTACTTCACCAAGGGTATAGTTCATCCTCAAAAGTTGTCTTTAAAGCCTTCCAATAGGGGTGGGTGTTTAGCCTAGTGGCTAAGACGCCTGCGGCCCCCATCAGAGAACTGGGTTTGTTTACCTGGCCCTGGCTCCCAAGTCCAGGCAGACCCAGGAAGCAGAGGTGATGGCTGAAGTAATAGTGTTCCTGCCCCCCACATGGGAGACCTGAGTTCTGGGCCCTAGCCATTGTGGGCATTTAGGGAGTGCATTAGTAGATAGAAGCTCTGTCTTTCTCTTTTCCCTTCACATTAACAAAAATTAGCCTTCCAGTAAAAAGTTCCATATCTACCTAACTGCTGGAAATATGAATGGCTACTATCACCCTTTGGACTAATAAACTTTAGTAAAACCTGCATTTTAGGAATTTGCGTCTAGTTATTCCTTTCTCTTAATTTTAAGTAAATATGCTGTACAATGAATGTTCTCCCACCCCTTCCCTGCTTTTTTTTAAAAACAATACTAAGCAAAATTATAGTTCAGAGTGAACTATGAGAGAAAGTCTCACTTCTGTCCATATTTAATGTTGGAAAAAATTACTATCAGAGCATGATATTATGACATAAGAGAGCATCTATTTACAAACATATACAATTTTATTGGTATCTCTACATACTACAAGAACTTTGTTAAGTATAGTCACAATTGCTGAGTGCAACAGAAAAATAGTAATTTGTCATTTTCTGAAAAGATGCAAAAATTCTGAAGATGAAAGAAAGATACATCAATGATGTTATCTGTTTCTTATTTCCTAGAATAAAACATCACATAATTAAGTACTAAAAATTATAGGTTATTAGATATTTTGATTCTGTGTACAATTTCCAAAACCACCTCCTACTTTATTTTCTGGCTTTGAAGTTGAAAAGAGTGGGCCAATACCAGAAGGGAAGCAGTATGAGAGGGGATAACTGGAGTCTTCTCATTGGTAACACTGCCTTTGATAGGCTGGGCTCTCCCTCTTAGAAGGAATAAAAGACTCTTTCAAGGCATTGGGGGTGACATAGTAAGTTATAGGCATTCCTTCCCCTTTAAACATGTGCAACAAATAAGAAAGTAAATCCAATGGCCCTGGGAACTTTTAAGATAATATCATATAAAAAAAGAAGAGTTGTTCTCCCTCTTTGCTAATATCAAGTCAAATAAAATATACCTGTAGCAGAACACCTGGTATCCATGTGCCTTCCATAAGAAATTTGTACCCGATATAGTAAATGACTGTTTTGAGAATTCCCACTGTCCAAATATTGACAATTAGTTTTCTAGTTAGCTTTATTATGCTGTTGCATTTACTATGATCCAGTGCATCAGATGTGTAAGACAATCAAAAACCTAGAAGTCTGAATTAGAATAATTAATGGGAAAGTCACACAGGAAAATATCACAAAGTGTTAAGTGTTAATTAGGCCCTGCCTGGGCAGAAATATTTTGTTCTGTGAAAGACACAAAATAAATACGAACCCAGTCACCACTGTATCTCTTACCCCTTGCCTCCCTGGACTACTCAGAAGCCGGCTGAGACACCAGCCAAGGTGGACAAACATACTGTCCTTAGTTGGCCATAAAGCAGTTGTCAACTTTGGCTGGACATCAGGGCCACCTTTGGGACTTTCGAAAGTACTTACATCTGGTTCATCACTGGGAGGAATTTTGTTATAATTGGGAATTTTGAAATTTCCTCAGGTGATTCTTATGTATAGACAAGATTGAGAATCATATATCTAAAGGCATCTACCCATGCTTCTGAATCCTCATCAAAGCCTCTTCCACTTTGCTCGCTCCCATGTCCCTCCTCATCCCAATTTCCTTGCACCAAATTGGTTCTTCTTCCTCCTTCCCCAAGTCTGATCTTAACCTATTTTGCATTTCTTCCACTCAGGGATGTTATCTGTTAACACTAAATTTGTTATGCTGACAACTATGCTTCTTTGAGTGGTGCATATTAGAGATAATGTGTCAAGTACATGACAAGTGTTTCTGGCCCTTAGGGCTGTGTGCATGTGAAATAAAACCCAGTCAAAAATAGAACTGGGCAACAGAAGGCAGAGAAAAAGAAGCTGTGAAGGCTACCACATTCTCTTATGCAAAGAGCAAGACCTGAAATTAATGTCCTGACTCCTACAAGCGTTGCCTTCTCTAAACCAATATGGTAGTTTAACATGCTTTTTTTCCCATAGGGCTGGCTGAAATCACAGATACCTTCCAGGGTTGTTCCAATGAACCTAAGCAAAAGAGAGGATTTCTTATTTACTTTTCTAGATTAAAGTTTTTCAAATAACCTGTCTTCATCTTCAACTAATCTTAGGCCAGATCTTATTCCTTATTCTCTCATAGCCTTGGTGATCCTGTAATGTAGATAACAGACAAATAGTACCTTTAATACTGGTTACAAGGGTTACATAAAAAGGGATTCCGACACTAATTCTTTTTCTTTAGTTTCTTTTAAAAACTTGGAGGAATATAGACATGGATTTTAATTTATTAACTTGAGAATCTCTTCCCAAAGGCTTGAATAAATTTTTCTTTGTGACTGAAGTATTGGAAAATGCCTAATGCAGGTCTGTCACTGTCATTCCAAAGTTAAGACAACGACCCTGATGGTGACTGGGGCACTAAGTGTGGGGCTTGGCAAGGTATAGAAAGCAAAGCCAATAGTACTCCTTTGTAGGGGATTAAAATAAATGTAACCCATTCATGCCTCCTTCAAAACCCCGAGGTTAGTAAGGATTATTGCTCTAGTTATTACTAGAACCAGGGAAACAAATACTTCTATTTCTCATTGATGAAAAGAAAGAAATGCCTATTTCTTTTGAACATTAAAAAGGACTTATCTCTTGAGGGAGTTTTAGGGAGATAATGTTTGCTTGTTGAGACTGAAGTCTGACTTAGCTTCTGCTGCCACCTTAGAGAATGTAACGTGATTTTAATGGTAATAGACGCTCCCAGTCATCTCTTTTGTCACTGTCCAAGTTACTAGGGAATATATTTCTTACGTTCCAAGGTGGAGGAAAGATAGTAAAGATGAGTAGATGTAAAAGATCACATGGATCAACTATATTCATTTCTAAGGTGATGATGATGATAAGATGGTGGTGGTGGTGGTTGTGTGCCTGTGTGTGTGCCTATATGCCCGCCAAGGTCAGTGCAACAGAACAGAAATGTCAGAAGAGGAAAATCACATCCACATCAGATTCTTGTTATTGCTATCTCTTTGAATTATAAAAATTTTGATACAGTAAAACCTCATTAATTTGGATTCTACTAATCAGGAGTTTGTGGGATGAACTTACCCTTACATTAAGAGCTTATAAAAAACAATTTTGAAATAATTTAAACTACTTAAAATAATTTTATTCTTTTCAAGCACTTCATAAGCACCTGTTTACTTCCAAATGATGTGTCAATTATAAACTTTTGATCTAGTCATTTTGAATCTGGAGTTTTATGCACTATAATGCTATAATGTCCTTTTGATATTTTCTGCGTGCATTAAAATATTCCATAATTGTTCACTGATTTATACAAGCTTTCCCTAAAAACTGCATTTTATTGCATATGAACCACAGATATAATTTTGGGTATAGTAACTTATCTTGGTAAGACACTATACAATTATGCAGTTTTATAACAAGATATATGTTACATAGTCACACTAATCTCTGTCTTTAAATGATATACAGTAGTGGCTCTCAATTAGAAGTAATTTTGGCAATGGTTAGAGACATTTTTGATTGTTACTGTTAGGGGGTTCCTACTGGCATCTAGTAGACAAAGGCCAGGGATGTCACTAACATCCTATGGTACATAGGACAGTGCTCCACCATAAAGACTTTTATGCTAATGTGACATTGTTGAGAAACCTTTCTGTAGAACAAGTTAAATCAAATAGTATCATGAGTTTCAGAGATTCATTAAGTTTAATACTACTTGGAGTGAATTTAATTATTCCTAGAAAAAACTTGTATTTCACTCTTTCAGGTTTAAAATGCAGAAATGATAAAGTATTTGTTCAAAAAAATCAGAAAACTGGGTCATTGAAACTGATGGTACAATAGTACATTGCAAATTTAATTGTCAGTGTTTTCCAGATCCTGTCCTCCAGCTTCTTTACTATTTTCACTATACAGTTTTATGTGTTATATCTACATTTCCAAGTCAGATTATGTTACCCTCAGGCTGTTTACAGGACTCTGGGAGATTCATAAAGAGGCCTTTTTAAGAAATCAGGAAAATTCAAGGACTCTGAAAAATACTATTCTAGTGTACATTTTCTGTCAATCATCTTTGCTCTTCTCAAAATTCCTGAGAACATTGCAAGGGAAGTGTTATCTCAAACAAGAAATTTAAAAAACAAACAGAAATACTGTTTTTGGTTATTAAAGTAACCTGGACTCCAGAAACACAGTGAACTCTTAAGAATTTACACAAATATAAACCTAGTAAGATCTGATCAGTCAGGAAGAAAAAGTCCAAATCCATAATTTTAAAAAAGATTATTTTTGGAGAAACAACTTATTACAGGATGGGTCCAGGAAAATGCTTACATACATTCCTATGACTCCAACTTTCCAGAATCATGTTAGATAATGAGAGTAGGAGTCCTTGTTTCACTTTGCCTCTAGTACCTTTCTGTGGAGCTATGATAGACACCTCTTAGCATGTTAAGGATATTCTTTATTCCACTTTTTAGAGTTTTAAATGTGGAATAAATGTTTGACATCTATTAACACAATCCTTTAACTTATATTAGTTGACCAAATTAGTGTCAAAAGTATTGATTTTATATCACTAAACTATGTATTTCTGTCATCTATAATGATGACTGAGGCCAAGACGGCAAAAACACCAGTATATTTTATAAAGATTTCCAATAATAGTATTGAACAAAAAAGTGTTTCCTAATGAAAGCCCTTTTTAATCAGAAATTTAATAAATCAGAATTTCATTGCCCAGAACACTAGCTGAGGTTTCACTGCATCACACTCAAGATAATGACCATTTTGGTCTGTGAATGTCAGGCTGCAAGAGCACCTGTGGATTGCAGACCCACCCGGTTTAAGCAGTAATATACTGTGTAACTGGCAGATGAAGATACAAATGGAGCTTTAAAATATATCACTTTAGAAACTGAAAGTTGGGATGTGTGAAATTTCACTTTTTATGAATTCAGTCCTCAAAGCTAACTGCATGGTTTCTATAGTCTAGTTTCCCCAAACCTATTGTCAGCTTCCCTGCATGGAATACAAGTCAGGATGGAAAAATGCTTTGAAGTGACCCAACCCTATGCAGTTTGTGCTAAAAACAGCAATCTGCTCTGAAGGTGATAGGACTGGAAATAACTTTGTTGGGATCATTTACTCTGTTGGCAATGCTTGGTTATGACCGAGAACTGTGAACGATGTACAATACTATGGAGAGAGAATATTAATTATACTCTTGCCATAAAGACTCAATGGAAATTACAGATGAGAAGCAAACTCTGGGGTTTTGTTTTGTTTTGCTTTCCTTGGAGTTGGGTATGGCAAATATTCTTGAAATGTACTGATTGACATCTTCTAATGTAGATTTTTTTAAAATTGTTGGATGTGGCCCAATTTACAAAAATAGTTTACCATAAATCTTTTTTTCTTCTGTCACAACATGCTTATTTTTCTTTTCCTTTAAAGATGTTAATTTATCATGCAAAGATTTTTTTTTTCATTAAGTGCATTAATGCTTTTGTTTGTACAGGAATTTCCAAATCAATAGGACTCCCCATAGTTTCTAAGTGTAAATCCTTAGCCAATGACATGCCAATATGATGGCTCCATTTCACATGGGAAAAGGCAAATTCCATCTATCTTGGGATTTTACCAGGGTTCCAGCCTTTGGGTTGTACATCGTCTCTGATAAGTCGCCTTTGTGATAACTTCAGATGAATGGCAATGGAACATTTTGTAGAAGAAACTGGCTTCTAGCAGTTGAATAGTGATGCTGGGAATAAATTTGGTTTCCCTGAATAATGGTTTCTCAAAGCAGTCACAGCTTCTTTAGCAGTTAGAATTGATACCATTTCTTATCTTTGTATTTCAGCATTAACTGCAAAGAAAAAAAACCAGCATTAGATGCTAAAAAAAAATCCTTTAAAAGCCCTATTCAAATCAAGCCTAGATAATCATGCATATATAATTAAATCTCAAAACTTACAATGAAACTATGACTTCTTTTATAGTATAAAGTACATATAAGAATGATTTAAAAACAAACCAATCAAACTCTAAAGACTCAGCTGACAGGAAATTATTTTTAATGATGAGACAAAATGGAGCAGGTGGTTCCCAGCCTCTGCTGTCCTTCCTGCCTTCCTGCTCACATCATCCCTCCACACAACTTTCTAGCAACTAGTGTACAATACAGATCTATGTATCAGAACCAATGGACAATTTTTAAATTATCCCATAAAGTAAGGAAGTATCAATGTTCTATAGTACTTAATTTAACAAAAAAAACCCTTTAATCACTCAAAAAATTAGGGGAATTATAATACTTGTAAGAGATCCAGGTTACCCTGGTTCTCATACCCACTCATGTCGCATGACTTCTTTATGCTTTCCTGTGCAGGACCTAAACATTTAAAGTTACTACTGTGGAGATGCCTGCGTTACTCTGGCCGTTTACCTCATGTGCATGTTTGGAAAATGCTTCTGCACTGGTCATCATGCCTGCAGTTTTCTCTTCCAGCTCTCCTAGCCTTTGTCCTCTCTCATCCAGTGCAATCCGAGCACGGGTCAGCTCCCCCATCACTCCTCCAGCAGCGCCTTTCACCCCTTCTATTCCACCTGGTCCAGGAATGTGCTGGGCAAGGCTGCGGGATGCTCTTCCTGCTGAAGCTTCCCCAACTAGGAATTGAAGCCATAACAGCTTAAAACATTTCATCAGTAAATTAAGTACTCAAGTTTATCACCAAGACAAAGTACTTACATTCAACTCTACTGTCATAATTCTCATTGAAATAGAGCTATTCAGTACTGATATAAACATGTATTTGAAAATATTAGTACTTAGCCAAGAAAAATGCCTAGGAAATAAATTTGATATATATTGTTATTATGTGCCTTTTTGTGTGTGTGTGAGTGGGTTTCACACAAAGTGGCATAACTGCATTTCTTGACATGGCTCAAAATGTATGTGACCTCACTTTTAATTCAAATTAGTGTCTGTTCCACACTCAGCCCTGACCATTTCCTTAGGTTTCTGTCCAGGTCTTTATTCTAACCTTTTCTGTTTATCTTGATATATCAGCCATGCGGGCCTCAGGCTGTCTCTTTCTTCCTCTGTAAATACTAGAGAATGTGGGTATATAAATATGTAAATGATGGACATTAATATATATGCTGAAATTTTGTGACTTTATGAAGGTTAAAATTTTCCCAATCATTTAAAAAGCTCAGTTTCATTCAATTTAAATGAAGTAAAAGATTTTTTTTTTTAATTGAAAAGCATTGTTTTGGGACAGACACCAATATAGTAGAATAGGGAGGGAGTGTATTGCTCTAGTCTAAAGGAAGATAGTTAGAAAACATGTGGAGCAAGTGCAATCTCAGGGAGGAGTTTGGGAGAAAAAGGCAGAGGAAACTCTATGCAAATTAGAGGCATACTATGGATCTATGTGGAGGGTGTGGACAACTCAGGAACCCAGCATTTGAAAGCCTCAGCACTAGCTTTGGCGAGTGAGGTGAGACCAGACTGCAGCAGCCCAGGCCACTGTTGATAAAGCTGTGGGAAGACCTTGGGTGAGTTTGGCTTAGAGTCCTGTGGGGACAGTATGCTTGCCATCCTAGAGGAAAGAAAAAGGGGGACATGTTTTTCTTTCCTTAACCACCCAGCATGGGCATCCTGTAACTAGTCATGAAGGGGTGGGCACCATTTTGGACATATGTAACAGCTGTGCTAGCTCATGTCTGCACATCCAGCAACCAGCCAAGAGGAGACACCTGAGTCTGGCTGGGAGAACCAACAGGAGGCTGAGTGCTTCTGATTGTGGGAGCCCTGTTTTTTTTGGGATTGTGAAACACTGTGGCTGCATGTGAGGGCACATGGTGTGGCTGGGACTTTGGGCAGTCATTGTGGGTGGCTCCACAGCTCGGTGCTCTATGATTTCCTGGTGAGGGTCAATGCTCTGGGACCCCTGTTCACACCAAGGACTGAATGGATCCTTTGTGCGGTTCTTGGTACAGTGTGAATGAATCTTATACCCACTGGGGCTAGTGACCAGGCACCAGTCTCCTTGGAAGAGAGGAGGTGAGCGTGAGACTACTCCAACAAAGTAGGCAACTTCCCCTCTGAATAAAGGAGAGAGAGAAAGAGAGAGAGAGAGAGAGAGAGAGAGATAAAGAGAGAGAAGGGGCGGAGCCAAGATGGTGGAATAGTGAGGGTGCGCACCGATAGTCTGGGAAAAGATAGTTTAATAAAAGTGGAGTTACTGTAGTTTCAGAAAAAGGCTCAGGAAAAAATTGCAGAGGAAAGTCTTCTGGATCTAGTGGATGTGACATGGAGGACCTATGGGGAGAGCAAGGTAGCCCACTGCGTGGAAGCCCAGCTGCAAAGTCTGCGCGCCAGCGCTGGAAGGGGAGGTGAGACAAAAACCTCAGTAACCCGAGACATTGGCAGGGAAAGGCAGAAGGAACCTAGAGGGAACGAGGCCTGAAGCCCGACTGGGGAAAGTTCACCAGGCTGACTGGAGGAGAGAAAAAAACGAATAAATAAAGGGAACCAGCACGGACACTAGCCTCTCTCTCCATTCACCTTACAAAGATGAGGAAGACAAAGAGCAGGTGCCATTTTGGACATACGTAAAGCGGCGCCTGCCATCAGCCAAGCAGAAAAACCTGACTCTAGTGGGGAGAAATGACAGGAGGTTAGGACCTAGTGAAAGTGTGGAGCTAACGAACTGAGACTGTGAAAATCTGAGAGGGGGGGCAGAGAACTCAAGGAGTACACAAACTCGGTAACCTTGGCAACCCAGTGAGACTGCGGAGAAACTTGAGGCCACAATGAGGGCTGCATAAACTCTTTGTGTGGTCCCAGGGGTAGAGCAGATGAATACCCACAGGGGCCAGATTTCATACATCAACTACCCTCAATTCCACTCAGCTGTGCGGAATTACTTCCCAACTGAGTCAAAAAAAAAAAATAAAATAAAAGAGAGAGAGCGAGCGAGCGAGCAAGAGAACAATCTGGGTGAGTAACCTTTGGCAAACCTTTAACCCTGAAGAACCAAACAGAGCTCTCTGGCCACACCCATCACAGCTTCTAAGGATCCATCAAAAGCAGACAGTCCACTTAATCTAGAGTCATAGTATAACGAGAAAAAGCACCACAGCAAAGAAACCAAAGACTATCTCCACAATGCCAAACAAATGCAGAAACCAAGGTAACAAGAACAAGGAAGACACTATGATGCCCCCAAATGAAAAAGACACCCCAATTCAAGATAATGAAGATGATGAGATAGAAGAAATGCAAGAAGCAGATCTCAAAAAACTGATAAGAACATTAAGAAGTTCTCAAAAACAAATTCTTGAACTACAAAAATTCTTAATGGACAGGATAGAAAATCTCTCTTGTGAAAATGAAATCTTAAGGAGGAATCAAAATGAAATGAAACAACTAGTAGAACATGAAACTGTGATAGTGACCAGAAATCATAATGAAATGAAGAATTCAACAGATCAAATGACAAACACATTAGAGAGCCTTAAAAACAGAATGGGTGAAGCAGAAGAGAGAATATCGGACTTAGAAGACAGAGAACAGGAAAGTATACAGTAAAACCAAACAAAAGAAGAGGAAATCAGAAATCCAAAAAATATTGTCGGGAATCTACAGGATACTATTATAAAACCCCACATTCGGGTTCTAGGAGTTCCTGAAGGCATGGAGAGAGAGAAAGGATTAGAAGGCCTTTTTAGTGAGATACTTGCAGAAAATTTCCCAGGTTTGGAGAAGGACAGAGACATCCTAGTACAGGAAGCTCATAGAACCTCTAATAAACTTGACCAAAAGAGATCCTCACCACGACACGTTGTAATTAAACTCACCACAGTGAAACAGAAAGAAAAGATCCTAAAATGTACAAGAGAGAAACATCAGATTACTCTCAGATTATCTCCAATCAGACTCACAGCAGACTTCTCATCAGAAACCCTACAAGCTAGAAGGGAATGGCGAGATATAGCCCAGGTACTAAGAGAGAAAAACTGCCAGCCCAGAATATTATATCCTACAAAGCTCTCATTTGTGAATGAAGGTGAAATAAAGACTTTTCATAGCAAACAGAAATTGAAAGAATTTGTCGCCACTCGTCCAGCCCTGCAAAAGATGCTTAAAGATGTGTTACACACAGAAACACAGTGATCAATATGAAAGAAGGTAAAGGAAGAAAACCTCCCAGTAAAAGATCATAGGAAGCTCAAAGCATATACTAGAAAATATCTTTGGGAAGATGGCAGGGCAAAGTCACTACTTATCAATAGTCCCATTGAACGTTAATGGCCTGAACTGTCCAGTTAAAAGACACAGACTGGCTGAATGGATTAAGGAAAAAACCCATCTATTTGCTGCTTACAAGAAACACATCTTTCCAACAAAGATGCATGCAGACTGAAAGTGAAAGGTTGGAAAAAGATATTCCATGCCAATAGAAATGAAAAAAAAGCTGGTTTAGCCATGTTAATATCAGACAAAATAAACTTTAAGACAAAAACTGTTAGGAGAGACAAAGAGGGACACTATATCATGATTAAGGGATCAATTCAACAGGAAGATATAACAATTATCAATGTATATGCACGTAACTACAGGGCAGCAGTTTATCTAAAAGATTTATTAACGGACTTAAAGGGAGACTTAGACCCCAATACAGTAGTACTGGGGGACTTCAACACTCCACTCTCAGAAATAGACAGATCATCCAGTCAGATCAACAAGGATACAGTTAATTTAAATGACACTATAGCCCAAATGGATCTAACAGATATATACAGAACTTTCAATCCTACAGCTAAAGATTTTACATTCTTCTCAGCAGTACATGGAACCTTCTCTAGGATTGACCACATACTAGGCCATAAAGCAAGTCTCAGCAAATTCAAAAGAATTAGAATCATACCATGCAGCTTCTCAGACCATAAAGGAATGAAGTTGGAAATTAGCAACTCAGGAATCCCTAGAGCATACGCAAACACATGGAGATTGAACAACATGCTCCTGAATGAACAATGGGTCATAGAAGAAATCAAAAGAGAAATCAAAAACTTTCTGGAAGTAAAAGAGGATAACAGCACAACATACCAAAACTTATGGGACGCAGCAAAAGCAGTGTTAAGAGGAAAGTTTATATCAATAGGTGCCTACATCAATAAATTGGAAAGACACCAAATAGATGAGCTTTCAATTCACCTCAAGGATCTAGAAAACCTACAGCAAACCAGACCCAAATCTAGTAGGAGAAGAGAAATAATTAAAATCAGAGAAGAAATCAACAGGATTGAATCAAGAAAAACATTACAAAAAATCAGCCAAACGAGGAGCTGGTTTTTTGAAAAAATAAACAAAATTGACACCCCACTGGCCCAACTAACTAAAAAAAGAAGAGGAAAGACCCAAATCAATAAAATCAGAGAAGAAAAAGGAAATGTAACAACAGACACCACAGAAATAAAAAGAATCATCAGAAATTACTACAAGGACTTTTATGCCAGCAAACAGGGAAATCTATCAGAAATGGATAGATACCTGGACACATGCAACCTACCTAAATTGAACCAGGAAGACATCGAAAACCTAAACAGACCCATAACTGAGACAGAAATAGAAACAGTAATAAAGGCCCTCCCAA